TACCCACTTATGTAAATATATAGACTATATTCTGAATGCAAATTTCCATTTACCTTATCAAGTTTTCATCTTCCTCTTCTTGCATCTCTTTTAATTTCTTTTGAGCTTCTTTAGTATCAAACTGAGAAAGCATTGTGTCAAAGTCCACAGATTTCTGCCTCCTGTTTAAATCTCTTAATTCTTCCAAAGATTCAAGAAGCTCCAATTCTTGTTTAGACTGTTTTGTGCGATTTTCCAATAACTGCAACAAACATTATCAAAAGATTCCTAGGGAGATAAGTCTGTCCAGTAAGTAATTGTTTTGTAAGTCATTTATTTAGATATTGAACCAAGGAAGTAATTAATAAACTGTAGGAAATTTATTTCTTGATAGGGTTATTTATATGGTGATGATGCACAACAGCCAGTATGGACTCAAAAACTGAAGCACTGACTTCAGCCTCTCTTCCAGCTACCTTCCTCCTCCAACAGCTTCCTCTTCTGTAATACTCCACACATACCCTACTTCTGACTGTGGTGTTATCAACTGAGAAGTGAGATATTAAAGGGACGAGGATGAATAAGTGAGGTGAAAGTAACAAAATGTTGCTAATTTAAGAAAACCTAAAGAAGGTAATATATATCACATCTGATTATACCTTCATTTGTTGTCTTTTGACATTAAAAAAGAAGTTATCCATTCTGCAACTGGCAAATAGCAGCTGTCTGTTGAGCACACTGCATGCGAATGAAGCATACGTGAACATGCTGGCAGATGATGGGCCTCAACATACTCACTCACCTTCATTGGATTAGTGGCTTCATCTTCCTTCCTCTCATCCTCTTCCCGTTGTGCTTGTTCTTCTGCCAACTTCAAAGCCATAAAATTACGTGTAGCCCCTGCTTCAATTTCATAATCTGTGTTTTGAGGATCAGTTTTGAATGAGATCTCCTGAAGACATCTTGTGCACTAACAATATCAAATAAAAGCACTGTAGAAAGCCTATCGTTAATTCCATATTGACTAATGGCATAGTTTGTTTCCTAACTAATTTAATAAAACCTTCTCAGGTGCATAGGTTGTCTGCAGCTCAACAAGAAGGATGTAAGTTGAACAAAATTTGTATTAACCTAAGCTTTCTTTCAAAGCACCAGAGATGTAGTCAATGTGAGAATGGTTATGAACAATGAAGCAGGAAAGCTGTGGAAGTAGTTGTGACCTACATTAAGGATCTATCAAAACATTTGTCTGGAAGGAGTAAAAAATCAAAAATCTTCTCAACCAGAATAGCTGACATCTTGGCACAGAATCAAATTCAGGACCTACTGAATATGAAGCAAAGTTGAAAAGTAATAAAAAAAAGGCAACTCCTTCTTTCAGGCCATTCTGAACAGGAAATGCATAAGACAAATATATACCTAAACAGACGTTACTATATATTTCATTCAAACACACTTTAATTACTGTAACTAGTTTCATTAGTATACCAAATTCATTAAGAATGCTGTATAATACTTCCCCTCCTAACTGAATTATATGCTTTCTTGAAGTATATAAATAGCCAATGTAGAATTCCACCAAATTCTAATTTTTTTCTCTAGATTTGCTAATGATTATACCTGCAGACAACATAAATTGTGGAATGGAAAGTAGTTTACCTTAATATAAAATCTATAGATCCGAATGCCCAGGTAATCTTCACCTTCCACATCCTCCTTCCGTGCATTAAACTTTTTTCCCTTGTAAATATATTCACCACATGTAACACACCTGAAAGAAAAGACAAAATCAAGGTTGCACTGCTGATGAACAATTCACGAGACATGACGCCTGTAGCCAGTCACTACACTGACTGAGTTACCGAACTCACGTAAGTTTTGAGGTATCTGTTATTATTTGGAAAGTGCAGCATTCACTTCTAATTAAAGTACTTACACCTCCTTTCTCATGGTTCTGTTTACAATAATTAGCTCATAAATTACAACCATCAACAGGCAGCTACATTCATTCTGCAAGTTATATAATATTCAGTTGGGCAACTTCTGTGAATATGATTTTTGTTATCAAGATGTTATACATTTATTAATATTAACATCTATCTAGTTTCAATAGAAAGTCTTGCAATATTCTGATGTGTTAGATAACTGATTACTTTATTGGTAGTAGGGAATTCTAAATATATATTTTTTTAATGACCCTTTCATAAACTGGCTTCAATCTACAAATTACTACCATGACAGTTACTATAGTAGTAGATGCCTCTCATTCCTTTGACAAACTGCATAAACTCCCCTCTCCCCATACTGTGTGACCATGTGCATTTACCAGTAATGCATCTATTACTTAAACGTACAGACTTGTTAGCAGTCCAAAGTGCACGCTGAAGTCTCAGATTTACACTTAATGTATCATTTATTCACCTTATTGGAAAACAAAACCGAATTAGGTTAATGTTTATTCCAGCAGGATTACATAACCTCTCATTGGGCATAAGAATGGCTTATGTTATTTTATTTATGAACTTACCTCATATTAAATGGAGCCATAAGTCGAACAGTATACTGCCTATTTCTAGGCAATTTCATACGAGGGATTTTAGACGGATCAAAATCTGGTGGGTAGTATTTCTGCAAAATATGGTTAAATGGTATAATGACATACAGAAAAACGCAAGGTACAATACAATTACCTGTACTTAATAAAAAGTACTCACGTTCAGAACTTTTCTTTCAGACATTCTGTATTAGTGTACTGTTGTGTTACTTTCGTATTTCCAAATAAAATCCGTGTCAAAACAACAGAAGTCAAACTGACAACAACAAAACACCAATATTCCTCCTCTTCCAATTTCCTTGGCATAGATTATATATATCATCAGAATATGAGAGTCTGAGACTGGTGCCATCTAACAACCTTATGACGGATTGCTACTTCTGGAACGAGCAAAACCAAATTATAACCTAAAACACCCAGTGATTAATTTGGCAATGCAAAAATTCCACCACATATGTCAAACAAGGAGTTTGCACGTACTAAACGAAAATTGCATCTGTAATTTATGTGGTAGATACCACATCATTTCTACCCACAACCTGCAATCGTGGATTAAGTATACTGAAGATGATCAACGTAGTTATCTTTTCACTGAACGTCAAGTACACCGATATTACTTTCTTAACATAGATAAGATAAAATGGAACAGTACTGGTAATAATCGCGGTGTGTTATGAACATTACAGTTTTAATTCAAACAGTTCACTGTGAAAGTAAACTCTGTTGAACATATTGTGCACTTCAATTTCAAGTCGATAGGTCATTTTCGCTTTCTCTCACGGTTATATTTTCTAAACATATCGGCAGTCTGCTGCAGCCATCTTGCGGTAAGCTCCTTAAACTAAATGTCCATAACTGTTTTATTTTACTGTCACCAGTCTGCATATGATCGACGACGTGAATCTGTCATCTACTTGCATGGCATCCGTATTTTTGACCGTTTTGTGTTGCCTGCATATGGACTATTCGGCTTGGGCTTGGTTGAGATGAAGTAGTTAGTTATACAAAGTTATACAAATCAAATTACAAATGTTTTTGGGGGCCAATAATTATCTCATTTTCGACCAAAATGGATTTTATTTAACCTTTTCTATAACATGGTACAGATACTTCCTCCGACAAACGCCCGAATTTTATAATAATAGTCCAAGTAAACTCAAATAGCATCTCTTAACTTCGGAACATGTTTTATCAAAAGATTACAAATTACTATGAAAATACAGAAACAAAAGACGGGTTTTTCTTTAAATTAAAATCAGCGCAGAAATTAACTCAATTAAGATCTGTCGATAACGACAACTACCCTTTTAATATGCGTCTATATATATATATATATACATTGTGGGTGTATGTTGCAAAGAAAAGATTGAACGTAAAAAATTCTTTTAAACACATGACTAAGGTAAACGTAAATGACGGGTTGGTGATTTAAAATAACTTCTATAACAAACAGCCGCTGCCAACCTGAATCGCGTAGTGTGGGAAAGAAGTTGGATTTCAATCGAGGTGATACGTGTTTATGTTCTTTGTTCTTTTTTACGCACCTTTACAAATGGCATCAGGGACGTCAGAATTCCTTGGGGGTCAAAGACCTTTGTGTGGGCGTAGTGTCAGGCGCCTGTATGGCTGGATTATGACGTCATCACGTGTATGCTGATGTGTGTGTGTGTGGGAGGGATGTCATACTGGGGATCCCCGACGTTGTTTAGGGTCACTTTCTCGCGTGAAAAGTCGTATAAATTTGATACGAAGTGTCATTCTTTTCTGTTTAGTCTTCACCGGAGTTTTAATGCGTTGATACATTTTTGTATAACTCCCCGTACCAAACTTCGTTAAAACTTAAAAACTCTATTCTGAAAAAGTGGGCCTATAAGTGTGAAACAAATACAAAAGGAAACCACGCATGTGAAATTATCGCGAAAGCAATACTTTAAGAAAGAAACAGCAATTAATTATTCGGTTTTGTCCGTCTAATCACAATTATATTTAAAATTTAAAATTTACAAATAAGATAATTAAATTATCATTTTATGTTCTACATCGAATAATCGATTTACATTTGGAACATATTATTCGATGTGGAACATAAAATGATAATTTAATTATCTTATTTGTAAATTTTAAATTTTAAATATAATTGTGATTAGACGGACAAAAACCGAATAATTAATTTAATATTTGATTCACAATATGACGCAATTATACTATCTAAAGAAACAGCAGTTCAAGCCGATGAGACGAAACGAGAAAATCTGAAGATCTGACTGCAATAACCACGCTTTGTGAAATGTTGTTAAATTTATAGTAAGAAATCCGCACTGAACATGTCGTGGCACGCCAGTGAACCATTGTGTCCGGGGGGGGTTTTGAGAACTACTGATTTTCTCAATCCTACACATATTTCTCTTTCTTCAACAAAACCTTCTACTCGTGTTCTTTCCTTTGTGAGTTACCAAGTTAAAGAGATACAACACTGCGTGAGGCTTGTTAAATTTAAGTTAGATTCCAGTGTACTGACATGTTATATATCTATATTATATTTTCTGACACCTTTCATAAGTGTCGAACCTCATTTAACGGAAGGGTTGTAGTGGACCGAAACAAAATTAATCACCAAATTTTGGTTTTTAAATCCAATAACTACCAATTTCACTTCACGTGTACAGTCCTCCTTCAGAAGTTGATAGTCGCTCATCCGGTCAGTACTTAAATCCGTCTTGTATAAAACCCAAACGTTCATTACCGTATTCACAAAACTCTATCCTGAGCCAGACGGATTTAGTCCGCGTTCTGTACCCTGTTTCCTACAGATTAATTTTAATAATATCCTCTCGTTGACACCTTGATCTTTCATATGGGCACTTCTATTCTGGTTACCTGACTACAATTTTGTCTCCCCGTGCACTCTACATACCCCGCCCAGCTCATAACAGTTGGTTTGGCTGCCGTAATAATAACGAATGTATAAATCGTGTTATTAAATTTTGTCTTAGGGCCGAACATCAGAGTTAGATTTACCTAACCCGTCATGTATTTTGGGAAATGGCGTCTAGGCGGATAACAGGCTGGGCAAATGGCTCGAATAAAATGTATTAAAATATTGGTTTAAAAATCTCTTGGAAAGCGAGAAAACTCTGCCAAATTTCTGCTTCAAAACCAAAACTGTAAGATAGGATCAAGTGTGTACCTTCCGTTGACGAGACTATTAATGAGACAAAGACATCCACAGAGAAGTCCTGTTTGTTTTGTTTCTGAGGACTATATTTTTGTCCTTGGAATAGTAAGAAGGACAAGTTATGTTTTTGTAAACAGTCGTATAAACCTCTTCCTCCCAGTAAACAGTTTTCTCGAAATCCTCAGTAGTTAGGCAGCCGCGCCTTTCCGGGCGGAACTCCACACAGTTTTATGAATGAACGGTTGCCTTGACGACAGCAGTCCATGTGAACTTCATGAATGAACTCTACAGTCACATATCACCACAAGTTGAGCCATGCATCCTACTTAAACGCCACATTTCGCATGCACAGTGGAAATAAAATCATAAAAATTGGCTAGAAAAATTAAGAAAAAAAATACATCGCTCGGAATACAAAGGCATAATGGAGGGATGATATATTAAAATGGACGTTAGAGAAAATGTGTAAAGGTAAATTCCGGATTGAAATGGATCAGGACAGAGTCCTATGTTGGGCATCTGTGAACACGGTAATGAGTTTCCAAGTTCCGTGAAAGACATTTAACTACTATTTATGATTTGAGGTTTCCACAGCGGTGAGTATGAAGATTTCTGTCTTCTGGGTTATAGCGCCGTGTAGTCTGGTCGATGTTTACCAACGTTTCGGAGATCATACTGCCTCCTTCATCAGGGCGGTGAGTATGAAGATTTTTGTCTTCTGGGTTGTTGCGCTGTGTAGTCTGGTAGATGTTAACCAACGTTTCAGAAGTCATACTGCCTCCATCATCAGGGCGATGAGTATGAAGATTTCTGTCTTCTGGGTTGTTGCGCTGTGTAGTCTGGTAGATGTTAACCAACGTTTCAGA